GGCTTGACTAAAAATGGCAGAAGCAGGAAGAAGTACAGAAAGAGTAGTACTTTTTTATGCTAAGAGATGCTTAGAAGATACAGATTTTTTTAAAAAAGCGAAGCAATGGAAAAGCTACTTTTAACTACAACATGGTTTTTCTTTCCAGTCCAAGTCCCTTCTTCCCCCCACTCCAACGGAAGCCTCAAATAGCCCTTGGCATTACAGCATCGAATGAAAAGACACTTTAGAGCTAGTTCAAGCAGTTCATTTTCTGTCAATCAACTCGCAGGCTAAGAAATATCAAGGCAGTGACATGACAAGAGTTCCATTTCAATATCTTTACGCTTGATAAGATAATCCTAGAGGAGTGACAGTGATCAAATATTTACATGCTCCACTCAGTGGTGCAGCCTATTGTAAAACTGAAAAATCACAAAATTATATGGTAATAGCAACAAAGTTATTACACCAAAAGAGGTGGGGGAAGGCAACAGAACCAAAATTAAAGCCAATGCGCTCCTTTCCCTTGTGAGAAAGGCAGAAAGAAAAGGGAACTGTCTGGTTTAAGAATGTCAACATCGACTTTGCCACAGATTAGCTTGACCTTTCTCAGCATGTTCAATCACCTAAGGACTACTGAAATAGAGTCTGCCAGCCTGATCTTATGAAGCATGGCCCTGGCAAAGTAATCCAGAGCTTGGGCTGCAAAGGTTGCCCTGCAGGTGTGATCCAAGGTCATAACTGGATCCAACCTTGCTGTAGGGCTTAGAAAAGTTGCTTTGTCAGGCTGCGACTCTCAGAATCATCCAGCCAGTGTAGCAGGATTTAGTGCAAAAGGGTAACATTTTGAAGCAGGTGTTGGTGCAAGAATGCCAGGCAGATAATTTTGCTGTTGATATTGTACAGTGGTTTCCTGCAAGTAAAGACATTTTTCTAAAAATGGCGGTGTGGGATGCTAATGTAGATATGAATGAATGAAACTTTATACCCCACCACCATTTCCCCAAGGGGACTCAGAGCAGCTCACAACACACTCAACAGTGAAACAAAATAATACAAGAACATAACAAAATAACACAATCACAGTAAGATGCATAAATAAAATTATTTAAAATATCATATAATGTGAGCAAGCAATATATTTTAATAACATCAGTTGATTCCAGATTAATGTGGCTATTGGACAGAGCTGAATGATGAAGCAAAATGTGCCAGAGAAATATGGACATGAATCTTTTCTACACCCCTCCCCCATGAGTCCTCTGTGTGATATTACAAGGAATCCTGAGGTTCTCTTCTCAAAATGTACAGTGTTTTCCAGATTAACCATACACTTCTGACACTCCAACCGATGGCTCAGCTTTGCTTGTTCAGGGAAGGTAGCTCTAGAAACACAGAAGAAAGCACAAATGTATAGAATGACAGGCCTGTGTTTATTGCAGCAGGGTGCTATTGATGGGGAGAGGAGAAGCTGCAAAAGGGGTTATTTTCTAATTCATTCTAAATGACTTGGCATTGTCCTTGATTAAGAGACATGGTCTTTCTCTCCCCTGTGCCTCCTTCTGTTTCTCTGCAGGAAGCCACTTAACCACCCTGAGCAGCTGCAAGGCATGCACAGTGTGATGGATGGAGAATCTGGAGCAGGGCCTCAATTGAGTCTTCTTGTCTTTTTATGAGATCCTGCAAATCTGCAAAAGTGTGTCTGATGCACATCAACCCTCCCCACATCTGCTTTCTCTCTCTCCTACAAGGCCAATCAGTTAATGCATAGTTTTTGTTTTCCAAATTAATGGTCAAAGTGGAAAAAGGACAATTGGGTTCACAATAGTTCCTACTCTTGAATAGACTAGGCACCCAAGACCCACTGACTTCTCTTCTTTTCTTATCTCTTGCATTTGGGGAAGTCATCAAATTGAGTTTGTTGTGACAAACAAACAGCACTTTAATTGTTCCCGAATGAACAGCCTTTCTATTTTTTTTCCTCAGTTCTTTTTAAAACGTTCTATCCCTTTTCAATAAGTATGTTATTTATATCAATATTTCTACTGTTGGATTGTATGTCATGAAGTCACAGTCTGGCCTAACTCCTACTGATAGTTTCACCTTGTCTTACTACCTAGCTACATTGCAAAATTATAGCAGATAAACACCACTTTAGCTGCCATAATGGCATCTTGTGGAATCCAGGGATTTGAAGTTTGTTGTGACACCACAACACTCTGATAGAAAGTGGCAAATAATTATGTCACAGAACCAGAAATCCAAGAATTGCATAGCATTGAGCCATGGCAAACCACTGCAATTCTGCAGTGTGGACTGTGTCTACACTTACTTGTAAATGTGGGGTCATTCAGCAGGAGGCCTTCATACATACCTTCCCAAAGGTGCTGCATTAGCAGATTGGAATCCACATGGTCCAGTTAAGCCAAGGTCATGTTGGTCCTGCTGAACCATCACTTGACCATCCTTGCTGCTGTTGCTGTTTCTAGCTGACCACAAAGCTCCATGTGAGCTCCTTGCTATTGCAGCAGCAGAGATGCCCACATGAAATAGGAGTGACTAGATCTCCCCAATGTCTCCCCATGTTGTACCCATGTATTATTATTATTATTATTATTAGTCACATGGGTGCCTCTGTTGATGTCCATACAGGCTCATTTGATGGAAGCAGCAATGACAGTGAAACAAGTGAAAGCGGGTCTGAATTGAACTCAGTCCTGCTTTCCACACTGCCCTATGGCCATGGAGATGCTCCAGAGTTTCAACACTCCCCAATGTTTATTACTACAGGGCTAAAACAGATTAATCCTGAAAGTAAAGAAATATTATGAAGCCAGCCAGGGGCCAAGTCAGATTGTAATGCCTGTGAAGATGAACCCTGAGTCTCTCAGGTGAATTCCTATTTAGGATTATCAGTAGGATTCAGGCTGAGGTTTATAACCCAGATGCCCTGTTGTTTGCTACACCTTTGAGAATCAGAGGCCCTTATGGAAGACCTGGGAGGTGCTATGATGAATATCAAGAGAAGGAGTGAAAAACAGTTAAATATTGCATAGAGGTGTTGTACAAATGGAGACAAGGAAAACTATTGTCTGAACACATTTCTGTTGAGGTAGGTTGTAGTACAATCTAGTTTATCCAGCCTGACATATTTTAGAACTACTGATATAAAAAAGAAGAAAAGAATAAGTCCCAGGTGATATGAAGTAGTTCTAGGTATCAGTACTGCAACACCCTTATTTCACAGCATTTCTGTTCCCCGCGGCTTATCTCCTCTTCATTTCCTTTAATCTGCCATCTTGTGAGTCCAAGCTAAAAGGGAATGCCTCTGGCTACACTGTCTCTCTGTCTTGTTTATTAGCTGTGTTCAAGAGACTCTGCCTGGTAGTTTCTCTTAGAGAGACTGCCTATGACAAAGTTCAAGACTCCCTCTGCCCTACAGTTCCCCATATTGAATAAGAAGATACTCAGTGCAAGGTAGACTTTCCTGGCTTTCCAACTCTATTTGAAGTAGAAGTCATCAACCTTTGACTATTCCTGTGGTGCACCAGCAGGTTTCCTTCAACAAAATATCTCTTTTTCTATCTGTACTCGAGATATTCAGTGTAAATATTCAAAACAAAGGGCAATATGTGCTTCTTTTGCTATGAGCCTTTTATGCTTTCTGTTTCCGAAAATGTTCCTACTCATCTCTGCTGCCCTGTTTTTGCTGTATTTCCCACATGTTTTTTAATTGAAAAAAATTGCAGATGCATTCAAAATGTTAATTTGTTGTTGTTTACTTTCAATTTCAAGATGAAATGGAAAAGGAGAAAAATGGAAAAGGAAAAAAGACCAGGGGCTTTGCAAAGTTTGAAGGCAATGTTGTAAAATGCCATTTGTCATGTCATACAGTATCATGTCTTATTTTTTATATCAAATGTGGCTTTTTTCCTTTCCACAAAATTCAAAGGTAGCTTTATAATCATCTGATCTCCAAGCAACTGTCTCTGTGCGATCACCTCTATTTAACCATTTTAATGAAAGTAGACATGTACCAAACATTCTTCCAGTTTGATTCTCAAGAAAATAGCAGTACTTGGGTAGCAGATGTGCATGATAAATTCTCCAAATCCTAGGCCTTCTTAAACTTGTCATCTGCCTTTCTTCTAATTTTCTCTTTAGGTTTTGGAATTCAGATTTATCTCCTCCTATTTATAATGGGATCAATGAATAGGGAATTCTCCATTGTTTGGTACACATAGTACTATACATGTGCTGTAATTCCCATGTTTAGTTCCCTCAGTTTCTCCATGTATCCTCTTCCCATCTTTCTGACCAATACACATATGTCTACTGATAAAACACTGTAAACAAAATGCAATCTGTATATAATTATATGGTTTCTCTTTATGTAGTGCTTTACTTTACTGACACAGAGCAACAACAAAATTTTGTGACATATGTTGCTGTGTGCCTTCAATTAATTTCTAAGTCATGGTGACCCTACATGCTTGAGGCTGGTAGGAGACGATAAGTAAAGTAACTTGTAGATATCATTCTCTGTCATGTATTTAACCTACCAACTAGTCAACAACAATGACCCAATTTTTTACAACAGATATGAAAGATCTGAAAATATCTGAGGATGTCCACAGAACTCATGCAGATGCATGAAGACACTGACAGCAAGGCCTCCACTTTTAAATGTGACTGATACTTAATTGAAATTAATTGCAAATAAAGGATAACACCACACTGTTAATATGCCTTAATGTCTTGGCTCAAAGAGGAAGATTATTTGAAGGACCGTATTTTCATTTCCTCCATCCATGTTTTTATCATGTACACAAACACACACAAGATGCTTTTGGAGAAATAACATTGGAAGCATTGTGTGAAACACAGCAAGCTCAGGACATTGCTAACCATTGCAGACATTATTTATATTCCTTGTAATATGTGAAATTAATATTTTCAAAGGAAAAATAAGACATCAATTAATGCGATGCAGAAAATACTATTCATAATGTTGGAGAAGCAGTTGTTTTAATGCTTTATTTCATGTTAGACAAAGGAATAATTGTAACAGATTTGCTCACAAAAATTCAAGCAACTGTTTATGAGACATTCTATATGAAACTGAAATGATCAAGCATCTTAACTAAAATAATGCTTAGGCAAGGCCAATAAAACACAGTGTGGAAAGATCTAGTGTCCCAGTGGAGTACATTGGTATCTTCTTTGCTTTAAATCACATTTCAGTCACAAACAAGAAAGGAATTCTGTATTTATTTTCTTGTATTTCAGAATTCATTGAAGATACTTCAGTGTTGTTGCCTGAAAAATGATTAAATATAAAATCAGATGTTTACTTAATGCAGTAACATTTTGCACCCTACATGAAGAAGGCAAAAATTATGAGATTAAGCAATCAGTGAATGGCGTATTAGCATTCTCCAAGAAGGAATCTTGATTGCAATGGAGGAAAATCACATAAGCAGTGCTACTAAAAACTCAAAGCATGTTCAGGCGTTATCTATAGATACCATAAGAAGAAGTGGGGATGCTCTGTTAACCCCTGTCTTTGACATCTGCACATTCTCCTTGACTTTCATATCTTTCTTTGATCATTCAAAATTCACCAAGGGATCCAGGCAAAGACTTCCTACTTTCTAGTTTACAAGTTGGTTGAAAATACAATCTCCAGTATTCTACATCATGGACCTTAGCTCATGTTTACATGGCCAAAATAACGTGAATTTGTAGCTTAGCTGCTGCGGTGAACCCACATGATATAATCATGATTGTAACATGGGTTGGGGTTGCAGCATACCTGCTTTATGCATCCATTATTTTGTAAAAGTAGAATGCAGGATTTACTCCAGAACTTCCCGGAAGCTCCAGAATGATCTTACAGATCTGAAGGCATGGACAGCTGGATCATGCTAGATTTACCACTGCATTGGCACCAGCAAGCAACCCTCTCCCAGAGGCTTGTAAGGTCTATCAAGGGCTGAGACACTATCACCAGCAAGTGTCTGGGAAATAATCGTTTTCTTGTGGCAATGCAGTGGCAGCAGCCTCAATGTGCACTGAGGCTGGTTGCTGTGCAAATGGTTATAGGGTTCATAGACTAAATGGAGAAGCGCTGGAGCCCTTTAAACCACAGTTTGCTGGTAAGTATAAACACCACCCAAATTAAATATATTTAATTAAGTAACCTCTCCTAGCCCACCCACTCCCCAACTTGATGGAAACATCATCCATCTATGTTCTGATCTTTAGTAGAATGGACCTCCTTCTCATATAGCTGATGCCCAGTAAAGTAGGTTGAAGGGATGTTATGATTGTGGCAATAGTCTAACAGTCATGACTAAGTCACAGTCATGAATATGAAAGAGTAATGGATGAGTAAATCTAGGTAACTGTTCCATATTCATGGCATCACCTCATAAAAATGCATGTTTTTGAATATATGTATAGAAAAAGGTGTGTTGTTGTGCCATGCCAATATGTTAAATCAAATGTTTGTGAGTTTTAAATTCTTGATTAAAATGATAATGAGACAGAATGGTTTTATAAATGAACATATTCAAAACTGAGAGACTAGTCCACGTAATTGTGGTGTAATTTTGTTTGTGTGCATATGTTTATGCGAGAGCAGGAACCAATGTGAGGAGAAAAGAAAAAGAAACCCGCAGTCTCAATTTTTGCTACATGTCTCCAGTTCAGTTGGCATTCCTGATATGTGAAAATATGTCCATTGGACAGAATTCACCTTGCTCTGTAACCCTGGTAGTTATGTGGCTACATAATGAATCACAGCCCAATCTCCCCAGTCCTCAGTAACCAGTCTGCAGCCATTGAGATAGATGGGGATCTGTTCCCCTGTTTGTTTGTATTGAGATGTGGAGGATTTATGCTTTTATTGATTTTACTGTTTATGGAATTTTATGTATTTTATATGCTTTTAACTGTTTCTATATTATTGTGGCATCGAATTGTGCCGTTTTGTAAACCGCCCTGAGTCGCCCTCGGGCTGAGAAGGGCGGTATAGAAATATAGTAAATAATAACTAAATTGTTTGGTTGTTAGGATGCAGCTAGCTAAATATTCATCCACTTATGATCTCAATTTGTAACAGGTAGAAACAGGATCCTAATTGAAATCGCCTTTTCTAAGGGTAGTATTAGTCTGAGAGAAGATTGTCAAGGGTGTGTGGGTGTGTGTTATTGTTTGGGGAAAACAGGGCAGAATTAACAATCCTCCGGCCTGCTATAGAGACTAGGGTTCAAATCCCCATTCGGTCACTGAAACCTGCTGGGCAAGTCAGACTTTCTCAGTTATAGAATCATAGAGTTTGAAGAGACCTCTTGGGCCATCCAGTCCAACCCCCTACCAAAAAGCAGGAAAATCACACTTAAAGCACCTCCAACAGGTGACCATCCAGCCTCTGTTTAAAAACCCACAAAGAAGGAGCAGAGAGTTTCACTGCTGAACAGCTCTCACCATTAGAAAGTTCTTCCTAGTGTTCAGGTAGAATCCTCTTTCCTGTAGTTTGAAGCCATTGTTCTGTGCTCTAGTCTCCAGAAAACAAGCCAGCGCCCTCTTCCCTGTGACTTCCCATCACATATTTATACATGGCTATAATGTCTCCTCTCAGTCTCAAAGGAAGACAAGGGCAGCCTCTATCAGAACAAATTATGCCAAGAAAAACCCATGATAGGTTCGCCTTAGGGTTGCCAGAAGTCAGAAATTTCTAGAAGGCACACAATAAGAGTAAGACAATGAAAATAATTTATATCTAGTTGTCTTCTATTGGCTGCATTTGCATTTCTTTTGCTTACCACTTTTCTTTGGATGCCTATACTTTACCTCTAAATTCTCGATTGAATTTTTAAGCTATTACAAGGCTGAAGGAAAGTTCAATTTGAGAAGAAAAAATTCTTATTTGTGGGCAATATCTTCTCACACACTCATTCAACACAACTCTGGTGCGTGATTTAGAATTATATAGGATAGTCTTCAAATTATAGCATTAGAGCTCCATAGCACAGACTTCTAAGGATATTCTAACTACAGTTCCCAAAATTCCACAGCATGGAGCCTTGGCAGTTAAAGTGATGTGAAACTGATATAATTATGTAATGTAGACATGTCTTATGCTAATAAACCAGATACTTTTGTGGATCTATGCCTCTCCCTTTACCAACAAAGCCCCATACCTAATACTTTACTATTTCATAGATTTCTTATCACTTAAGAAAATAAAAATAACTTAACAACAGATATGGAGTGTCACAGATGTAATGCAACAGTTCCAGTCTTAAACATCTATTTGAAAGCCAACAAATCAGTGCAAACTAAATACTTTTCTACTCTACATCCTGTGAGCTGCATTTGAAGGGGGAAGATGGGATTTGACTTAGAGATGACATGACATAACTCCAAGCACTACGGATATTAATGCACCGAAGTTCTTTAGGGAATAGGATTCCAATAAGCATAACGGGATTTATTATTATTAGCTGGGTAAAGTAATTGCATTTCTCCCTTACCTGCTTACACTTTCTGTTTGAGATATGGATTTTCCACCCACTCATAAATGCCTTTCCTCCCACCCACCTCCTCATTTTAGTACCTTAGGTGCAGAAGTTTCAGATTTCTGCTAGCACTTGCAAATAGCAGCCAACTTGTGTGTGTGTCTATAAACCTTCTGCTAATATTAGCTTCTCCTGGAATTCAGTTGAAATGAGGAAAAATAGATTACTTTCTATTTGCTTCTTTTTTTTTATTACTCCAAGCAAACTAATTCAAGGGAAGAAAACAGAACTCAAAATGTAATGCAGAATTGTTGCTGGTTTTTCCCACTTTCCAAACTATTTAAAAACAAGCCTGCCTTTAAAACACTTACACGAAGCAAATGCTTTGTCTCTCTGCTGCTTTACATAGACACCCTTGCTATCCCTCTCTCTCTTGTTTGTGTATTGTGTGTTCTTAAGAGATATCAGAAGGTGACCTTTGGAAAACATATTTTTTCTAGAGTTATAAGGCCTTCCTTTCTCATTGCAATGAAATAATAGCCTAGAAGAGAATTGGCTGCTGTTGCCGCTTCTACTTCATAATTAATGGTTCTTACGGATGGCTGAGTGGATGATATAATTAATAGCACTTAAGGCTTTGAGTGTGTTGAAATACACAGCTGATTACCAAAATGTGTATTTGGGCAAGGATTATATGCAAACAGTCCCTGAGTGGAATCATAGCTGGATCATCCAGATCGATCACACTTTGCAACAGAGTGCCCCTTTGTGGTTTCAGTGCTGGATGGCAGAATTTGCAGGATTTTCTACAGCAACCTTTCCTAAACATAAAACATATGAAACCAGCCATTCCAGGTGCATCGAGATGTCATGCATAAAGGGGAACTCTCAGGCAGCTCTCCAAAGGGAGATACGTTTGCAGAAGCTCCAGAAGGTGAATTTGCAGATACCCATCTGTGCACATTCGCATACGTTTTGCAACATTTATTCAAATAATTGAACCAAACAATTGAAATATTTTAGATTTTTTATAAAGAAAATTCAGATTGTGGTTTTCTAAGTATGTGCAGCAAAAAGAGTTGCATAAAACCTCTTAGACTATATGTGTTATGTTAACAACATTAGTTTAAAATTCCTCTTGTAAGGCCCCTTCTACACTGCCATACAATCCAGATTATCAAATCAGATAATCCACATTATCTGCTTTGAACTAGATTATATGAGTCTACACTGCCATATAATACAGTTCAAACAGATAATCTAGATTTTATATGGCAGTGTAGAAGTGGCCCAAGATGCCACTGCGTTTGAATGCCTTTTCTAAATGGACATCTGCACTGATACTGCAGCATTATGTTCATGTGTCAATTGACACTTTCACTCCTATCTGAATGTTGGAAAAATAAATGTCAGTCCTTTCTACATTACCATATATCCCAGGATCTGATCCCAGATTATCTACTTTGAACTGGATTATATGAGTCTACACTGCCAGATAATCCAGTTCAAAGTAGATAATCTAGGATCAAATTATAGGATATAGAGTAGTCTAGAAGGGACTGTGGTGGGATCCATTTCTATGGATGTCTTCAAAAAGAGACCAGACAGCTATCTGTAGGGGATGCTTTGGCTCAGGTGTGTTGAACATCAGCTCCTAGAATTCCTGATTGAGGGTTAAACTGTCTGAGTCTTCTGAGAACTGAATTCTAAAGTATATGGAGGACTAAATTTTGGGAATTTACACTTTAGCTGGATTTCCTGCACTGAACTGGATTTTGGACTGCGTGACCTGAG